TAATTAAAGTAGGAATAGTCCAAAACGTCCCTTAAAACGTGTAAAGAAATCCGACCCAGACTGGGATTACGCAGCCTGTGACGGGCCGTCGTGCCTGCGACGGTCCGTCCTGCAGGTCGTCGCAAGGTTCAAAGACTCAATTTCCACCAAAGAGTCTGTGACGGTCCGTCACGCCCGTGACGGTCCGTCCTGCCATTCCGTTACGAAGTTCAGAGAGTCGATTTTCAGTACCCAATTTCAGAATTTCTAAGTGTTTTGAAACGAGACCCCTTGACGGTCCGTCGTGGGTTCCGTCGTCCCAGCCTGTTTTTCCAGAAATAAAATCTGCTGCTCAAAACGACTAAACAGGTCGTTACACCAATCCCCTTCACCCTGCCACTGAAGAGGTCCCGGAAAACACAGAAGTCAGGATAAAATGACACAAAGCAAGACAATTCCCTTGTTATCTTGGATACTACAACAAATTGAACTTGAAATCTGATACATACAATACATTTTTTAAAACAATTCATAGAAGTAATACAAAATCTTGAAGATTTTCCAAAATAAATTAAAAGTACTTGTGAGTAACGAATTAGAGTACTAGCAAAAGCTTTTTTTGTGTGTGTGTGTCGAACTAACATATTTTATTGAATTTCCTCAAGAGTCACTGCCACAATCTATTACAATCCTGCTCTATATTAACAATTTATTGACAAACTTAAATGATTTTTAAGTCAAAAAATAAAAAGTACGGGGCTATCTATTTTTGATTTCTTACTTTTTTAAAGTCATTTTTAAGACATAATACACAAATATGACCCTTGACTTGACGTCAACGAACAATTATGCCCTCCAACTTTGAATGTACACAAGTAGATACTTAAACTATTATAAAATTGAACAAGTAGACACAAGTGTCCTACATGGCATAATACACGTAGGATGCAATGTAGGATACAAAATTATCATGTAGGAAAAATATGTTCATTTACTCAATTTATACAAATTTAAGTGTTTAGATTCTTCTTCAAATCCGAAAACATGATAAAAATCATTTATGTTGATGTTTGTATTAGTAAAACAAATTTCAACCACACCTTTCTTCATTACTGGATAAGTTGAGTTATCAGTGGTTACAATAACTCTTTCTCCTTTATGTTGTCCCAGCACTAAAAATAATGAATCATCTCTAATCACATGGTGTGTACAACCAGGATTCTCCAGTTTGATAAAAAAAAACACCATTTCATACTCTCTATGGGGTAACTATTAATTATATTTAGTTTCTGTCAGTTTCTCAAGATATATATACATATCTTTTTTCAAAGTTAACGAATACACGTGAAACCTACGTATGCGAGGTTTGAATTGACATTTGCCTTCTTAACTTTCTTGTACCATAGAAAATAGAGCTAACGTTAGAGTAATCGAAATGAACACTATTGGAATGGCGTGTTGTGTACCATAGAAATTGTATTATCAATTCAATAGTAAAATAGACCTAGCTTATCCAAATATGCCACGTTATGGTGTGTAAAACAAACATTTAATTAATTTCCTATGTCAGTTTATGTGATAAATTTTCGTTAGTTTTGATAGTATTTTTTTTATTTAACAAATATTTAGTGACACGTCAATATTTTATTCATGTTGGGGTTCTATTTATTTGAGAAAAAAGTCTACATAAGTTATATTCTTCTATTTGAAAATTTTATTTATTTCAAGAATAGTTTTAAAACATTCCAAAGTCTTTCTTATATTTCTTAAATTATATATTCAAATCAAATAATATCACAGAAAGGACCTTAGTAGCTAACACGTCGATTTCAACTTTTGAAAAAATAAATATATAACACATAAATAATATATATATGGACGGACAATTCAACATATAAATTCATTAAAATCACCTAAGATCCTCAGAACTTATCTATTATTATTATTTCATCAAAAATGTTTTATCTTTTTTTTCTTGTTACTTTGTTTGTACAATATGTACAAAGTGTTCCTCAGAATAGTTCAATTGTTGAATATCTTCCTGGTTTTGATGGACCTCTTCCTTTTTATCTTGAGACTGGGTAATTTTCTTCTCTTTAATGTCTTTATAATTATTTATTTCATTTCAATATGAAGCTTTAATTTTACCTTTTAATTTCTTGACAAGTATATATAATCCATGTTTTTTTCACGTTTCATGTTTAAATGTCTTATAACCATATAAATATTATGATGTATCTGATATCATAAGGTTTTAAAAGCTTTAGAGCTTGTTCGAATTAATTGATTGTAAATAATGAATAAATTTTAGGAATTGAAAAATATATATTTTTTAATAAATATATCTATATTTTTTTTAATAAATAGTTATTTATTTGAATAAAAGTGAAAAAACTTATAATAAACAATTGATTTGATGTGTTTGGTAGAAGGTGTTGGTGAGTTTTTCTTTTGTTGTTAAAATGAAGAAAATACTCTTACAGTTTTTATTATCTTCATAAAGAAAAGGAGGAGTGGTGAATAGGAGAAAGTTAGGAATTTAGTTTTGAAAAAAATATTTTGAGAACTAGAAAAAATATCAGATAAAATAATTTTAAAAAATGTGATAAAAAAACAAATAGAGTTTATAAGCCTTTCAATTTGATTTTGACAATATGCGTAAATAAGTCCATAAGTGATTTTAAGTCAATTTGACCAACATATAAACTTAGTCAAAACAGTCTTTTCTAATAACACAAAAATATAATGGCATTTGATACAAGAAGGTTGAAATTTCTTACTTTAGTTTCTTGATAAAACTTTATGTTTAATCAAATTACTACGAAACATGAATGATAGTAGTAATAATACTATTTTCATAACATAATATCTATATACTAGTCTCAAAAAATTGTTGAAGTGATAGAATTTTGAAATTCTCAGATACATTGGAATTGGTAAATCTGAGGAAGTACAACTATTCTATTATTTTGTTAAATCCGAATCCGACCCGAGAAAAGATCCGCTCGTGCTATGGCTAACCGGAGGGCCCGGTTGCTCTTCCTTCACAGGGTTGGCATACGAAGTAGGTAAATATCAAATCGATCAAAATTTAACGTGTGATAGCATGTTAATTGTAACACGTCGTTCATGATAATTTTTTTTTGTTTATAAGGTCCATTGGATTTTGGCCAAAAGGCATACAATGGTAGCCTACCAATTCTTATTTCAAGTCCATATTCATGGACCAAGGTAACACACACAAAAAAAAAAAAAATCTTCATCGACATACATATATATTTGGTATTTCGCAAGCATATATAATAAATAAATTATTTAAATTTGGTAGTTCGCGAGCATACTTTTCTTGGAGCAGCCTGTTAATACTGGATTCTCGTATGCAACAACTTCAGAGGCATACAAGTGTACTGATCTACAAGCATGTGATCACGTCTATGAATTTCTAAGAAAGGTATTTGACATAAATTGTAACAAGTTCACGAACCTAACATACATATGCATCTTAGTGGTGGATAAATGTGCCATGAGTTAATTAATCAAACGCACTAACATATCCAATGAGATTTCACAAATGGAGTCTAGAAGAGAGAGGGGATAGGATGTATTTTACCTCTCTCACATAAAAGTACGATAACAAATTAACACTCTGTTAATTACCTACTACTCTTCTACCTCAACCTCCGCACCTTCCTATCTAAGGTCATCTCATCATCAGGCTGAAGATGAGCCATAAGGAAATCAAGATACTAATAAGTAGCAATCAAATATAACATAGATGTATTGTGAACTAACTCGCGGTTTATTATGCAGTGGCTTGTTAATCATCCAGAATTCATTTTGAACCCTTTCTATGTTTCTGGGGATTCATATTCAGGCATTACAATTCCAGTTATTGTTCAACTAATATCAAATGGTAAGGACCAACTAATTATTAATTTTGTACTTGTGTAGCCACAATGTATTTTATGTTTGAAAATGCAGGAATTGAACAAGGAAAAGAGCCATTAATCAACCTTAAGGTTAATTTTATATATATAATCGTTTCTTTTTCGTTCAATTTCAACATATAATATATCATGAACAGAAGAAAATATTGTTTGAAAGGGCTATTCACTTGGAAATCCATTAACATTTTCTGAGGAATCCAATTACCAAGTTCCTTACTCTCATGGTATGGGACTAATATCCAACGAACTTTATGAGGTTCGTTCATTCCTTATTTCGTAGTACATTAACTTTGTATCATACCAACACAAGGACAAGAAAATAATAATTTGAATCTCGTTGAAATCAGTCGTTGAACGAGATTTGCAAAGGTGAATACCTCAACATAGATCCTACCAACAAACAATGTGTTGAAAACTTTAAAATGTTCAAGAATGTAAGTTTACATTAATTGTATTAGTAACATTTCTAATGTGTTTTAACTATAAACTTATAGGTAATAATATTCTTGTAATGCAATTTTGTAGCTTGTGAGTGGTATAAATGATCAACAAATACTAGAGCCTTTTTGTGGAACAGACTCTGAAGAACAATACTCTAGTGAAAGAAGATCTCTTGAAGAACAATATTTCATTTTTCAAAAATACGATGACTTTATCTGTCGAGAAAGTCGTGTAAGTCTAATTCAAATTTTTGGAGCCACCTCTAAATACTCGTCCACATAATGATCAAGTATATATATGCAATACTAAATCTCTTTGTATGAAAAGAAGCATATATACGTCCTTTTTTTCTTGACGAGTTACATAAATACAAGGTAATTATAAATATATACGTATATACTTTATGATTATAGGTCGCCACACGCAAGCTTTCCAATTATTGGGCAAATGATCCAAGAGTTCAAGAAGCTCTCCATGTTAGAAAGGTATTTCAATTCGTTTTATTTGTATATGTATAGTAAATGTTGTTTACATCGAGCTATATATATATGGTTCGAGATATTAAAACGTTCTTCTTTGACTAGGGAACTATAAGAAGAACATGGGCAAGATGTAGGCAAAGTATTCTGTCTACAAGTTACACAGTTACTTTCATGAATAGTATACCTTATCATGTAAACCTTAGTTCAAAAGGTTATCGATCACTTATATACAGGTCTAATACGTTCACACGATATAATATGTAGTTGAAGTTACTATATATAGTATATACATAACAATTTATTTTTTATTGAACAGTGGTGATCATGACATGGTTGTTCCTTTCCAATCAACACAAGCATGGATAAAGTATCTAAATTATTCAATTATTGATGATTGGCGTCCATGGACGGTTGATGGACAAGTTGAAGGGTATGATTATTCAAATTTTACTTCCCTATATTTTCATTCAAATTGGATAAGACTATACAATTTTCATGAAATTCTTATATATATATCTTTGATTTTTAGTTACACAAGGTCTTTCTCGAATCATATGACATTTGCAACAATAAAGGCAAGAATTTTGTACACTCGATTTATATATTTATATATCTCGATTCTCAAACAACAGTAAAATCGTCGATTCTCAAGAATTTTCTTTTTTTTAATTAGGGAGGAGGACACACAGCTCCAGAGTACAAACGCAAAGAGAGCTTCCATATGTTTAAAAGATGGATAGCCCAACAACCTTTGTAATCTTTTTAGATATATCATGTCCGTAATGAATAAATATATTAAGATTTCATTAGAAGAAGAAACACTTGTAATCTTTAATTAGTATCATATGTATAATTCTTAAGATTACCATGAAAATATAACTATACCTCTACGGACCTGTCAATGCTCCGAGCCTACACCCTGGACGTGATAGGTACTCGAGAATTATTATTGGCTCCATGTGAAACCTTGGTGTAAGGATTGAGTTCCGTTGTTATAAAAAAATTCAACGGCAAAAAATTTTGGGTCGAAAAACCTTTTCATAGTAACTTGAAATTTTCCAACCTAGTCCAAATTTGGACGAAATTTGAGTCATTTAAGTCTAGGAAAATCTGGTAACAATTTATTGATCTAATTATGAATTTGATTACATGAGTAGATAGCTAAGACATTAAGAAAACTGTACGACTTTACGAAACTGAATTCGGGCGGGTGTAATTCTCGAAATTGATCTTAGCGTGAACGGATAATATATGAATGTCGTTGGTTGAAGAATGTGTTGTGAAATGGGGGTTTGAAATCCTTAAATCGACTCACTGGTTCAGTGCAAGCCGCTGAGATGAGATTTCTTCTGCCAAGGCGAGGCCGCTGTAGCAGGGTGGGTGTCACCATCGCAGGGAAGACACTACTTAAAATAAAAAATAAACCCCAAAAATATTTTATTTTGAAATCTTCAAACTTTAGAGCTAAGGAACAAACCGAGGGGTTCTCTTGATAACAAAAGACTTTTCAAAATTACTCCTAAAATCTATGGACACAAAATTATTACAAAATATATATATTGCAAACACAAAAATATCATCACAACGTAGTATCATTAGTTTTACAAACTAAATTATATTAAAACATGTCATCCACTTTATTTCATTCTAATTTTTAGTCAATGACAACTGATGGGGATTAAATTATCTTTCAATTTTCATATACATTATATAATTATAAAATATTTATGCAAACAAACATGCCACATGGAGTATATTATAATTATAATTGTCACATGGAGTATATTATAATTATATATGGCGTGAAAAATAAACATTTTTTAAAATAATTATCATATTTTATAATTAATTGCTTTGACTTGTAATTAACAAGTCCTAGAAATTAGGATGTGATCTCTAAACAAGGCCCTTAGTAGCTAACATGTTTTGATTAAATAATTAGAGCTTGGATAAAACTTAGATTTTCAATGAAAATAAATTAAAATTCAATTTCAACTTTTGAAAAATTATATATATAACTAACATCTTCAGACTTTAAATTTATTTTGATTCATATTCAACAATGTTTCATCTTCTTTTTCTTGTGAATTTGTTTCTACATGTACAAAGTGTTCCACAAAATAGCTCAATTGTTGAATTTCTTCCTGGTTTTGATGGACCTCTTCCTTTTTATCTCCAGACTGGGTAATTAACTTCTATTTAATTTCTAATTATTGTGAAGTTTTTAGCTCTTAATTTCTTGAGTACTAGTATGTATGTATGTATATATATATATATATATATATATAAGCTATGTTTTTTTTCATGTATGTCATGTTCAATCGTCTTGTAACCACATAAATATTGTGATATGTCTGAGATCATAAGGTTTTAAAAGCCTTAGAACTCGTTTGAGTTACGGATCGTAAATATATTGATTTTACTAATAAAAAGTTATTTAGTTGGATAAAAATGACAAAACTTATATATATATTATTATTTTTTCAATTTATGTGATATGTTTTTCTTTTTAATTAGTATAAAAAAGAATGAAGCATTTCTATATTCAGTAACAACTTAACTCTGAAGCGATAAATTTTGAAATTCTCAGATACATTGGAGTTGGCAAATCAGAAGAAGTACAACTATTTTATTACTTTGTTAAATCAGAATCCGACCCGAAGAAAGATCCGATCTTGTTATGGCTAACTGGTGGGCCCGGTTGCTCATCGTTCTCGGGGTTAGCATACGAAATAGGTAAATATTAAATAGATTTAAGTTATAAAATATTAAATTTAACAAGTGATAGCATGTTAGTTACGAATTGTAATATGTCCACGATACATAATTTTTTATAGGTCCATTGGAGTTTGGCCAAAAGGCATACAATGGAAGCCTACCAATTCTTGTTTCAAGTCCACATTCATGGACTAAGGTGACACAAATTTTTTTATTTTTTTCTTCAACTAAATAATTGTATTCTTAGGTAAAATGCACGAGTACCCCCCTAGACTATGACTAAAATGTCAGAGACACATCTTAACTAAACAAAAGGTCCTATTACCCCCTGAACTTATTTTTTTGTAATTTTATATAACTTTTGTCTTACGTGGCACGGTCTTTGACTCCACACAATTAAAGCGTGTGGGAGATATTTGGATGCCAGCAAAAAAGGTGCACAAAATTACAAAATAAATAAATAAATTCAGAGGGGCAATAGGACCTTACAATAGTTAAAGTGTGGCTCTAATATTTTGGTCATAATCTAGAGGGATACTTGTGCATTTTCCAATATTCTTATGCACATTTCATATGATTATGAAATAAATATAGTCCTTATATTTGTTAGTTTGCAAGCATATTGTTTTTGGAGCAACCTGTTAATACTGGATTCTCGCATGCAATAACTTCAGAGGCGTATAAATGTACTGATCTACAAGCATGCGATCACGTCTATGAATTTCTAAGAAAGGTATATTTTAATACATTTGATTGAATGTTCAGTTATTTACGCAGACAACTACAGATCGGTTCTCACTTAATATACTTTTTCCTTCTTATTTTTAATGGTGCACCCATGCATATTTTAGAAATCATTGATTTGTCTTAACCATGAGAAAAATGAAAACGTTGACAAGTATATAATGGAGATGCATTGTGAACTAACCGTAGAGAATAGCAGAAGAAAAGTACAATTAGGAACCTTCTTGTCACGATCCAAAATGATTCGTGAGCGACACCTACACTTATCTCCTTAGGTGGGCGAACCAACACATCTAAACCCCAACATATACCAATTGTTCAACTGTAAATAATATAAATAATGTGGAAGATCCAAAAAGATATTAAGCAACCAATTTAAATAAGTTTCTAAAGTTTAATACTCATCATCCCAAAAATCTGATAGTCATCACATCAAGGACATCTATTTCCAAATTTACCAAGTCTAAGAAACCAAAATAAGCAAAAAGATGGTCCATGTCCCAAGTTCAAAGAACATCAAGACGTGAATGAGAGAATCCAGCACGAGCTAGAATTAATAGCTCACTCTGAACTCTGATGTGCTGGAGACTAGCTAGAGCTAAGGGCGAGTCGAAGTCGATGGTAGATTTGTTGCACTCCACAAAAGAATAAAGAAAAAAATATAAGTAGGGGTCAGTACAATGAACACGTGCTGAGTAGGTATCATCGGCGAACTCAAAATAGAAACCAGTATATATTGAATAATAACATAAAATCAACTACAATACTTAACAGGTGGCAAGCAACAAACAGATGAACCATCGACAACAACACCATAATAGTTACACCATCAATCACAACATCAAGCACACCTATGAGGACTCATGTCTCCACACCATACTCATTTGGAAAATAGGTTCTTTGAGATTAAGTATATTAAGTTACTTCAAGATTCTTTTCCTTTAATGTTATTGTGTCGAGACGTGACACTCCGATCTCATATATTGTGTCGGAACGTGACACTCCGATCCCATAATACCGTGTCGGAACGTGATACTCCGATCCAATGATCTCACTATTTTATTTCATCAAGCCTTCTTTGTTGAAGGCGTCATTTTAATAGAGAGGGTTCAAGATTAGAAATTCAACAGTCTCATAATTTTAGGTCAACCACAAACCACACAATCAAGACATACAACCACACAATCAAGACATACAACCACACAATCAAGTACATAGGAGACTTTACAATATCACTCAATACATATCAATCGCTATTGAGTGTTTATCTATCAAATAGAAATAAATCGTAACCTACCTCCACCGAAGAATCGAAGTCGAGAAAACTACTTCTCCAATGCCCTTCCTTTCCTTAACGCCTCTGAACGTTTTCAATCTACCAAGTATACATGCATAATTTATATGTTAACGAGTCTACAAACAATTATATTATTATATGTCTAATCCTAAACCCAAGAACTCACCTAATTGTATAATAAATTTCCAATGTTGCAACTTATGGATAAGTCTCAATTTCTCCAATTATCATAACTTTTATAGTATTCAAACAATGTGATACACCTAATGTTTCATTACTTATCTCAATAAATTTAAACTTAAATTATGATGGGATAATATATAAAAAGAATCTCAACATCAAACACCGATATACTCCCCGGCGTTAATATCACTACACTAGGATGCAACATTTTTTGCCTGAATGGAACTTATTACATTCATTAATAATCAATTATTTAAGGCATTATTATCCAATCATTGCCATCATCATGGCAATTATTAGCTATTTGTCAATTTTCAGCTCCTCTCCAAATGTTAATGCCAATACGCTATCTCTAATCGTTCAACTATTACTGTTACCCAACTTTCATTCTAATTTCTTTACACACACACTATTAAATTGAAAAAATTCATTCCCTCTAGCAAGCTTATTTACTTTGTCCAAAGAAATATTGAACTTAAAATATTAAACAAAAGGATGTTCTTAAATTGACATTATAAAATAATGGGATAATGCCCAAGCACCCCCTCAACCTATGCCCGAAATCTCAGAGACACACTTCTACTATACTAAGGTCCTATTACCCCCCTGAACTTATTTTATTAATAATTTTTTACCCCTTTTTAACTTACGTGGCACTATCTTGTGGGCCCAACGATGAATGACTTTTTTTTGAACTAGTGCCACATAGGCTAAAAAGGGGTAGCAAATTACATATAAAATAAGTTCAGAGGGTAATAGGACCTTAATATAGTATAAGTGTATCTCTGGAATTTCGGGCATAGGTTGAGGGGTACTTGGGTATTTTCCCAAAAATAACCATCTAAAGATCAAATAATATTCTTTATTTCACCGGTAATCATGCAACCTTATCATCATAAATTTAACCATTACATTATTATTATATGAATTTATATAAGTAACAATCTCAACATATTGAAAGTTTAATAAGTTTCTCACCTGAAGCCGTCGTCGGTTTCTTCCTCTTTATTCACACCGCTTTTT